GTTCCTGCATATATGTCTACAATAATATTTCATTATATTTTATTTGCCAACAATTTATCTTAAAATTTAAAATTAATAATATATTTGCAGTACTTAAATTTTACCTTGGAGTGGCCTTAATTATAAACTCGATGATATATTTTTTTATAAGACAAAGATTAATTTGTACTTTATAATTAGATTCACCCTTATAAGTGATAATATGCTCATTTCTTTTCTTAAATAAAATATCAGTGATAGTATAATCATATGCTACAATAAAATTCAATATTAGTACATTCTTCATCAGTCACAACATATGATTTAAAGCTTTCTACCACTCCAAACATGTCCTTTTAAATCTCCTCCCATAATTTTTTTTTTCTCATGAGGTATTATGTATACTGATTCTTCCAAGTCATTCCAAAATTTTTTTAACATATATCCAAATCTACTCGAGGAACATAAGCACTTATGATATTATCAATCTTAGTATAAATAAAAATGTTTAGAGTTATAATTTTATCTCTATTTTTTTTTAATTTCTACAACATTATCTTTCAAACTCTTATATATAATCATACATATATTATTTCTAGTATGACTTCTACTTGAATATTGATGCCCGAAACTATTGTAAAGCAGTCGAAAATCACACAAGCATATGTGTTACTCTAGTAATATGCAGAATTAGAGTGTGTGCTGATCTAATAAAGAAAATAGTCAATTTTTCTAAATGGTGAAGGTCTAGTTTATTAAACCCTAAGTCTAGTTTGAAGTGTTTCAAATTTGTAGAAGATTAAAGTCTCTAAAAAGCAAAAAAGGCAAAAAAATAGAATTAGTATTTTAAAATTTTCAACAGGGGTGAAAATCATAACTTCATGACTAGAATTATATGAATCCTGAAAATTTTCTTATGAGAGTTGTTGACAATCAGGGACAAATCCTCCTTAACATATGTCTAAGTCATAAGAAGTGTTGGAAACCGATTTACATTTAAAGAGGCTTAATCATGCAAATTTTATCAAAATTTCTCTAGTCTTCTTTCTAGGTTGCAATCCTCTACTGAAAATATGTATATTTCACTACATGAATATGTGTTAACCAACTTGTTTTTCTAGTAAATGGTTACAAGTTCCATATCGCAAGTTTATTTTGACATTTAATTTGCCTAATTATAAGTAAATTATGAGCAAAATGTTAACACATCAACATAAATTAAATAAAACACACAAAAATGTCAGGAAAAATTCATAGAGAAAACATTGATTCAATCTCATGTCATGAAAATAAATTAGCTACTTTGCATGATAGAAGAAAACATGAAAAGCTTCATTGAATTCAAGAAAATAAACAATATTCAAGCCAGAGTTGATCTCGCCTCAAAATACACAATGATACTCGCCTTATAATGAAAGCTCTTCAGTAATCTCCCATGTACAAGCACTCAAGTCTCTCCCTCTTTAAGCTCTCACAGAAAAGCCTTATAAGTTTTATTCCAAAAAAACCTAAAGAGAAAACCCTAGGGCACACAAAAAGAGAAGACATTTCTAAGCCTAGAGAAGAGCCTTCACTACCGAAAGTGATTTGTATGCTTCGTCACAAGTTCTTATATTGTTAAGACATCAAATGCCACAAAACATTCTCTCAAATTTGTCAAGCTATGGGTCTGGGCACGTGTGCGCTAATGTGGCACAGGCATGCCACTATAGGTGTGGGCATGTCGCCTTCTCTGCGTGGGGGTGCCATCTTCTTGGGTAAGCAGCATGGGCGTGCCATCTTATGACACGAGAGTGCCACATTCTATGTTAGGCAGCACAGGTTAATTATAGTTTTGATAGAAAATTATATATTTTTTGTTAAGAAACCCCTCTGTCTTTGAAAAAATCAAGAATAATTCCAAATGACAACGAGATTAATCCATTAATATTTCTTTTTTCAGAATAATTATAATTTTGATGAAAAATTAAGATTTTTAGTGCTATGGATGTCTATGTCCTTGGAAAAATTCATGAAGATTCCCAAAAATAGAGGGAATAGTTCCTCAAATTTTCATAATTTTTTGGTCTTATATTTAATTTTTAATAATTAAATTACTTTTTGAAGTATTTAATTAGTTTGAAATTAAATATAAGTTACTTAATTTAATTTTTATGTTTATTATTTTCTTCTTTGTCCACTGAGTAAGAGAGTATTTTTAATTTATTTCTTTGATTTTCTTAGTAAGTTATGATTTTTCAAAGTTTAAAGGGTTTTTTTTAATTTAAATAAGTCAGAGAATCTGAATTTCCCGCTTTACCACGTCGACGCCGCATCAACTTCAACCACTCCGAAACTCTAGGCATCACTCTGCGATCCGCTGTGCTTTCCACGTGTGCCACCTCGCTGGCCTCGATCACGTGTGTTCCCCTCCGTGGCTTTGTTGTCCGATTTGATCTCCATCTTTCGTTACAAATACACAGAAATGAACGATATACATTCATCATCCTAACAGAACAGAGAACAGAGAACTGTTTGCACTCTAGTTTGATGATCTCGCGCTAGACGTAACCAAATCATTTGAGGTTTGATCCTATAACTTTATCTAAGTGAGACAAACTTATCTATATGGCTATGTAGGCTTGCATTGTTGATTTTCTTTATAGAAGACCAAATTGAGGGAAAATATGGGGAATTCAAGCCATTACCTTATCCCAAGAGATGAGACCTTGATTGGCCTTAATGGAAACAATCACCTTAGATGTGCACACCTCCTCCTTGCTTCAATTTTATCTGTGGTGAGGCCTAGGTATAAGTAAGGCCGAATGGGTGCTCAAGTTGGTGTTGGGCTTTGGTAGAAGGTGTGGGAGTTAAAGATTTTGTTCGAACAGAGTTTTTGGGATGGTCGGAAGCTAATTGAAGGGTTGAAATGTTTTGTGAGACTTTGGAAGCCATAAAAATTGTTGAATTTCAAAAGGGAAATTAAGATTGTGTGGTGGTTGGAGTGGCTTCAGGATGGTGGAATTAGGTCATTTAGGTCTGTGGAAGGCGTTTTGTTTCTGAAGGTTAAGGGTTTGGGTGGCTGTTTTGAGAGCTTTAGTGTGTGTGGAGGCTCTCAGTTGGGGACTTTTATAGCCATGGGAGGCCATGACAGAGGCCTTGACATGCATGGGAGGCTATGTTGTCTCCTCAGGGAATGAGCAGGGGATTTCAAAAGCTTTGGGCAGTGGGAGAAAGCTTTCTCTTTGCTCTGGTCTGCTTGACCACAACGGCTCCAACGAAGAAGAAGGTGACATGATAAGGCTTTGGAATGATTGGGGCAAGCCTGTTTTGACACTACATCCAGACGTCGGTATAGTGATCATTGCACACTTTCAACTGTATTCAGGTAATACAGCTTGTTGCTTCTAGGAAACACCCTAACATTTACACAATGATCAAAGGAATTCATGTCATACTTACTCGACAAATTTTACGCTGACCGTCGACTACCTAACATAAAAAATTTGAGTGATTGGTTGATCCAAAAACTACTTTGAAAAACAATTGTCCAATTTACAAAATATAAATAAGCTATTTATCCAAATAGTTGTGATGATGAGATATAAAATAAAAAGTTCTTTTTCTATTAAATGCTTGGTTTATATAGATCTTGATGTGTACAATCTTATCTTTCATTGCTACCAAGTTATTTCATGGCTACAATTTAAAATAGAAAAATTTACTTATATACCTTTCAATTTCTATGTATTTACATATCTAAAACTATACATGTCTCTCAAAAGTAAGATGGTAAGAAAATTTTGACTGATATAAATATAAAATAAGTGTTGGGCCATTTTAAAATAATGAAAATAAGTAGCTTTGAAGGCACGTATGATAATCTAATATTTTTATGATGAAATTCAATTAATAAGCCATTTTGATGGTGTAAATGAGAGAGTTTAATTAAGCCAGCTTAATTAATTATTATTTAACTTAGCGAGATGGATAAATAAGCTAATTTTTTTTAATAATTTTTAACTCATTTATTAAACAAGCTGAACAAAAGCTGTCATAAATATGATGCTTAATTATTTAAAATATTTCTAAAAATTGGCATATTTTATTTATTTATGAGGCATTTATATGCATACCACACAATTCTTATGTATTTACAAATCTAGCCCCTAAACTTTCATATTTACATCGCTGCCGCTGAAATCTTCGAGTAGGGGTTTTAACGATCCAATTTTGAGCGGAGCTGGGGTGGGGTTGCTTTTCATTCAAAATTGGCTTAAAAAAATTCGATCTTAAATTTTGGCTCGTAATTCGGCTCGTTTATTTCAATCTGGTCTCGATCCGAGCAAAAATTCGAGTCAATTTTCAAGTGACTAACGGTCTTTGAGCTAAATTTGTTAAATTAACAGTCCTAAAATCACTATAATGTTAATCGATCCAAATTTTTTTTATTTTGATCATAGCCAAAGTTCGAATCAATTTTCGAGCTATTAACAGTTTTGGAGCTAAATTCACAATCATATATTTAACTTCGCATAAAAAATTCCTTAATTATTATCTTATATGTTCATGACACCAATGTATTATAAATATTAGTATTAAACATTTAGTATTAGACATATAAATTCGTAAGAACTATGATATGCATCAATATATTATAAATATAAATATAAAACCTTTAGTGCTAGATATATACATACATAAGAACTATGGTATGTATATAAATTTTCATTTTTTCTTCATTTATATGGGTCGACATGCATATATATATATATATATATATATATAAATGAGCAATGATAATGGAGTTGATTGATGGTACGGATCATTGTCAGAATACTGGCTCTTCTGTTAGAAGACAGAAGAAATGGTCCACGGATGAATCCACGTTAATGGTCAGTTTCGCCCAAATGCCGATTTACCCCTTCTTTTCCGCGCTCTTTCCGCCATTAACACAATCCCAGCTCCCACTTGCCGTCCCCGTAAAGTGCAAAAAAAAATAAAATAAATATATATGTAAGATATTCTCTGTAATTTTAATAAAAATAATTGCTTTATCATCTCAGAGATATGATAGAATAACAGTTGGAAAGAATACCGAACAGTAATATATATGCTGTTTTCTTTCTTCAGAAAGCTTTAGAACGCCAATGGGGAAGACAAGCACTTGGCTTCGGAACATTTTTACAGGGAAGAAGAGTAAGGAGAAGAGTGGAGACTCAAATCCAGATTGGAATACAGAAAAAAGATTTGCTTCAGTGCCTGCTGTTGCGGCCGCTAAGGAGAAAAGATGGAGCTTTCGGAGATCTGTGGGAGCAACGAAGGAATTTAATTCTAATTCAGCAGAGCAAAGTTTGAGCGAAGCTTGCGGTCATGGATTAATGGAGTTTGAGATTGATCAGAAGAGAAGAGCCATGGCGGTCGCGCATCAGGTTAGGTGGGAGTAGAGGGGGTGGCGGCGCATGCCGCTGCGGCGGTTGTGCGTCTTACAGCCACGGTGAATGATAGAACAAACAGAGCGATGGAGGAGGCTTCTGCCATCAAAATCCAGTCTTTCTTCAGATCTTATCTGGTACTCACTTATAAGAAATGTTTCATTTTTCAGATTGTTCTTTTTAAAGTTTCTGCAGAATGGAAGAATTATTTGCTTTGATTTTCTTGAAAGGAAATATCGAATTGTTTAGCTGTGAAAGGAATGCTGAAGGAGTCTGCTCTTAAATTTTTTTTTTGAAAAAAAGAAGCTTTTTTATCCCTTCTTATTTGAGGCTTGAATAAAAAAAGTTAATTTGAAGGTATTGGGATTTGAGAAAATAATTTCTTGGGTAGGGAAAAATATTTATAAAGGCAAATCATTTACTTACAATTTGACTCCTGCAGGCAAGAAAAGCTTTGAATGCACTGAAGGGATTGGTAAAAATGCAAGCTTTAGTGAGAGGGCACCTGGTTAGGAAACAGGCGAATGCTACACTCAGATGCATGCAAGCACTGGTTAAAGCTCAAGACAGAGCTCGCGCTGAAAGAATCCGAATGGTGGAAGCATCACAATCCACACCATTAAAACACCAAAACTACAGAAGATCACCAAGGCATCATCCATTTGTGAGCCAAAACTCAATTTTTATCTTTTATTCCGCACAGCTCAGCTTTTAGTTCCAACTACAAAATGTAAATCAGAACTCTTTATGATTTCAGGAACCGGATTATAATGAGGAAGAGTATGTCAAAATTGTAGAGATGGATCTCGGAGGAAGGAGCTATTCATTGAAAGAATCTGATAACAGGTTCTGTAATTACAATTCATCTTCTCGTACACCTAGCAAGGCTGATCTCCCTGCACAGCTCTCCCCTGTACCGTCAGCTTTAACTGAGATGAGTCCAAGAGTTTACAGCATGAACTTTGAAGAAATTTATATTCCCACAGTTCAGAATAGTCCTCAACTGTCTGCCATGTCCATGCCCCCACATACTTCTTACGATCATCCTCTGTATCCCAATTACATGGCTAACACAGAGTCTTCCAGAGCTAAGTTGAGGTCCCAAAGTGCTCCAAAGCAGCGACTTGATACAAATGAGAGGCAATCAAGTAAGAGAAGACAGTCGGTGGAGGGAAGAAATGTTGCAGGAGGAGTCAGGATGCAGAGATCTTCTTCTCATGTTGGTATGGCTGGAAATATTTATGAATTTCCATGGTACATGAAGCTTGATAAATCTAATATGTCGTTCATAGAGAGTGAATGTGGTTCAACAAGCACTGTGCTGACAAACAAAAACTATTGCAGATCTCCAGCAGGGTATGAGGTAAGATTGAATTAATCAGTACAGTATTAGTCATAGTTTCATTTAGTGGTTTGGTTTACTCTTTATTATTGCAGATCAATGGGAATGTTTGATGGCAGATTCATTCATGGCCTGTAGTGATATATCTTCTGACATTAGTAACAGTTATGATTTTTTAGAAATTAGAAGAAGGAAAAAATGTTTTTCAGAAGTGAAGATATTTCAGGAACTTGTAATTTGATTTTGCAGCTGCAAATAAGTCAAAATTTAAGTCCCAAAATACAGATTTCATGTTATCGTCCTTAGCATGTTGTCAGGACCTGCACATTTGTGTTTTTTCATAAATCGTGATCTTCACTTTTGTTATTGTATTCTTACTGATTGTTCTTTTGATGGAAGATATGAAAGGTATCATCTTTGCTCAATTATGTTTCATATTGTTAATATTTAAAACGTGTGAGATCATAAATATGATTAATAATTTTATAATTGGCCATATACTTTGAAAAATAATACCGCCTCATAAATATTTAGAAAAGTTTACAAACATATGTGGGCTCCGATTCAGAAGGCAAATTGAATTGTAGATAAGACACCGCCCAGAGATTTCGCCCCTCATTGTGCAAGGACTTTTTAATCTGATGTTCAGAGTTTCCCATAGGCGCAAGCCACTGTGATTAATTATCCCTCATGATAATAGGAGAACACTTCTGATTAAAGTTAGTCATTAATAATTGAGTATTCAACATATAATAGCAGCAGACTTAAGATTTTAAACTATATAATCGATCACTAGAAGCTTAAAACAAATATTGGGGGATGAAGACGAAACTTAAACAAGATCTCATGGTTTCATCATCCCGAGATGTCGTGGTCCCCAATCTACTTAGTCAGGGGAGGTTGTCGACCTAACCTGATAGAAGAATCCTTGTCAAAAGCCATGGATTGCGTCTTCTAAGGTATTGTTATAGATCTGGGGTGGATGTTTGTCTAAAAGGGAAAATTTAAGTCGACTTTAGTAGTCAAAAGACTTTATGTCAATCAATTATATCCTTATGATTCAAAACTTGAGGGTACAAAGTCATTGGGGAACATACGGGATGCAGCCGCGATCGTAATATAATGGTATCATTTCGGGTCGTAACCGCTAATTTATGATGTCATTGGGTCAAACCATGATGACAGAGGACTCAGGTCACGCCCTTACTAACATGCAATTACTTTGATTGTGAATCTATGTGTATTTGATATGACATTCACTCTTTGTGAGCTGAAGTCAGTCAGAAACTTGTCACCCTCGACAAACTCTTGCAGAGGGTGGATAGAATTTACTTTTAGTTTTTAATGATTAATTTTTAGCTTGAATATTTTAATTATTTATTTTGAAAGTCCTAATTTAAAAGATTGACCCATTCGATTGAAATCTTTAATCAACACGACCATCATTGGAATATTTAAGCATTTAAAACTTTTATATTTGAAGTAGGGGTATTTAGCTTTGTCAGGTTTATACTCTTAGGGTATAAGTTATGCTGACTCCTGTTCTTACAAGGAGGATAATCAAACTAGGTGATTTGAATTTCTAAATTTTTATTTTATAAGTTGGACATTTATTTTGAAATTATTAGACTCGTCAACTTCAGTTTTTGCCAGGAAAAGAATCAGAGTAGTTGGGTGTGACTTACAATCTTATTTTTTAAATAAGGCGGTTCGATTAGCCCGTGCAACATTCTCTAACAATGTATTTAAACATTTAACTATTTGGTTCGAGGAGCACATGCGGGCATTTACATTTCACATATTAGAATATCTTTTTATAAGCTTTAAAAACTTGCATGAATTTAAAGTCATAAACTTAATATGGACTTTACAAAAGATCTCAATTGGAACTCTTTTAAGTCTTACGAAATGTCTCGCATTTCATTGTATCGCATTTAATTTAGGGAATAATCACAAAATTTTTATAAAATTGGAAGTCACTTAGAGCATAAAATATTTCAGAATTATTATGATTTTAGCTTTTAAAAAGAAACTGTCTTCTATTTACTAGCAGAAGTATTGTGAATCCCGTGGCGATAAATTCCAAGTTTTTAGAAAACTCAATGTTTGAATTATGCTTAGCTTTTAGGAGCCTATGTGCGAAAAAATTAACTTTAAATTGATTTTCAAATTTTAGGAGTCTAAGTTTGAAGTCCGATTTCAAAATATTTTTTAAGTTTTAAGAGCTTAAAATTTAAAAATACTGATCTTAACATTTTAATTCTTAAAAGATTATTTTTTAATGGCCCAAAGCTTTAAAATTTTAAAATCCTAGGAGCTTAAATTTAAAAGTTGAAATTTTAATTTAATTTCATTCCTAAAGAGCCTAAATATTTAAAAAACCAGTCCCCTAATATTTTAAACCCTAAGAGTCTAAAATTTTGAAAAGCTCGAGTTTACAAATCATTTTAAAATTTAAGTGTGTGATGTTTTATTCTATTTTAACAGTCTAAAACCTCAAATGTTTTAAAGTGTTTAGAAGTCTAAATTCACTGAAAATTCTGGCAGCCTCCCAGTATTGACCTCCTTTTAAGGTCACTGAAGAATGCCAACCTTCCCATTTATCTTAAAAGACGAGCTGGTCAGTGTCGTGAGATACTGCGGCTAGAGAGTAAAAGTGTGAACTTAACCCGCAATCTTAAAAGATGCAACAAACATTCAATGTACCTGCATAAAAGGGTTAGCTCGCAAATTAACATTTCCCGAGAGGTACTTTGTTTTCCCCAAATGGTACTTAATTCACCATGGACGGGTACTTACTTTTCCACGAGCAGATATTTTATAGCCCTAATTTTAAAAAAAATTTCCATATGAGTCCATGTTTTTTCTTGAATAGGACTAAATTTCCCCATAAACGGGTACTCACGCTTCTTGGAGTGGATAGTTTAAAAATTCCTTGTTTTGCGGCAAAATTTATACCTTTTGAGATCGACAATGTTAACGACAACGATGAAACAATAGGATACAATAAAGTACATCATATTTCTTTCTCTCTTTTTTTATCACACAACAACAACTATAATAAAATAAGAAACATAAAATAAATAAAATTAAGTAAAGTAGCAGATAATAGTAATTGGGTTTGGTTTAATTATGGCGCGCTAATGAGTTGCAGAGGAGCAGATTTGGTTGATACCGGGAGAATTACATGGAAAGAACCATTCGAGCTCTAGGGCAGGGGAAACCCAAGGTGGAGGAAGTACAGAGCGGTGGGGCAGCGAGCAGCGACGGTGAGGAGAAGCCTTGGGAGGATCATAGGTGAAGAAAGATGTGATAGGCAGGGCTCGCGACAGAGGAAGAAATGGCAAGGATAATCTACCAGCTTCAGTTCAAAAAGGGAAGAAAAAGGCTTTGGTGTAGAGAAGATCAAAAGATCGTGAGATTTGCAGAGAGTTCAACGTCGTCACATCATACTTTATTTCCAATTGCACTCGCACTCTGAGATCTCACGCAGGTGTACGTGTCATATCAATAATATCAAATTTTTTAGTCTGAAATATCGATTCCACATGGAACGAGGAAATTAGACTTAAGTGAAGTTCTAGCTTATTGGTTTTCATTTTTTGCCTGAAATTGAAATTAAGGTTGTACAAACTACTCCTACTGAATTGCAAGCTATTTTAAATGCTAAATCTTATATATATCCTACTTTTTTTCTATTTGAATTGGTGAAAATCAAGTTATAAAGCTACCATCCCTTATAATGAATTGAGTGGAGCATAGGAAATGCAAAGTGTCAATTATGAATGTAGCTAGTGACAAATATTAGCAATTCTCTTCTTTACCCTCTCTCGAGTGAATAAAAAAGTTTGGTTAAATTGACTTCAATTCCTTAAATTTCAACTTAAACCCATCAAAGTCCAATTCTTTAACATTTGCATCTCCCTATAAATTATTTGCACTATATCCTATAATTCAATGTGAGTAACCTGGTTGATTCCACCATAGCTCTCCCGAGACATTATGGATTACAACACATTTTAATGATTCACTTGACCATAATGAAAAGTAAATGAAATTCAGAAGGTTACCCATCAAATTAAATATTTAAAAACTAATTTAAGAAACACTTGCACTCCTACACATACTGCTCAAACATAACAAAGAAAAATAATGAGAATTACTCAGAAAGCATGAAGAACATACCACAAAGCTTCATTTAAATCAGGAGAATGCACTAAATATTTGTACACAAAGAAATATAATCAATAGAAACCACAACACTTATCTTTCTCTCGTTTACAAAGCATTGAAAATGCTCCACCAAAGACCTCTGTACTCTTTGCTGCTCTTTTGGATACTCTCCTCACAATACAACTCAAGTCCTCTCCAATTCCCTCACATAAACTCTCTTACTCAATCATACTACAAGCCTTTAACAAGCCTCTACTTTCATTCTCCCCCCCCCGCCCACCCCCAAAAGAAACTCCTTTTAGAATTTAAAATATAGCATAATAAAGCCCTCCAGTCATCTGAGTAACTCCCCAAGTCGTGTGCCTGAACTGCTCAAAACTACCTCAGGTTGTTGTTGGTGCCTAGGCGTCAGTCTCTCTGTCGACCAAACAATATGGGCACCTAGGAGTCAGTAAGGTAGCGCTTTGGTACCCAATGGTTGCCGCCTGGACGCAAGTCTCTCGGGTTATCAGGGCAAACAGTGGCGCTTAGGCCTCCAAGGGTCTGGCACCAATGCGTCAATCTCTTGTGAGCTCCTTTGCTTTAAGTCTCCACCACATTGCTCTTCTTCTCTTCTATTTTGTTTCACTTTTAGTAATTGTTATAGTTGCAAGAAAAACATAAAAATATATTTCTTTAAAGTGTAATTTCATCCATAAAAATGTGCAAAATGATAAAGGAATTTATTCTTTCTTTTCTACATATCAAAATCCCCTAAATTTAAATGTTACTTTTCCTTAAGTAACACTACAATTTAAGTTTCAAGTTAGTTAATTTGAGGAAGTGGGTTCATAGAAACTATCAACAATTATACATCAGGAAATTCATAGTGTAAAAGTAGGATAACTCTAGTAAATAAGTCTAGCCTTAGGGTATAAGAAACTTTGCATCCAACCAAGAAAACTGGATTTTTTATTTACTTGAAAAAGAAATGAACACTTGTTAAACATAGTATCATCGATGGTAGAAAAACAAAATGTAAGCACTCCTTTTAAAAAGATTTATTCATACATCTTAGGTATTAGTAAACTTAGGAGTTTAGTGAAGTTTTAAATTTAATAAGAATCTAGTGAAACTAATTTTTGATAAGGTTTTTCCCCAAGCTTCTTCTCATTTTATATATTCTTTTCAATCTCTTTCCTTGCTTTAGGATGAAGATTTCAATTCTTAGCATAACTTTATGAGGATTACTATATCTCGAT